AAAGACAACAATGCCTTTAAAATATCATAATAATTATTCATGCTGACTGGATTACAGCATACAAAAGTGGATGGGTTTAACGAAGAGTGGTTGTGCACACCCTTAATCCTGGCACTCAGAGGCAGAGTCAGGCTAATCTCTGTGAGATCAAGGCTAGCCTCATCTACATAGTGAGTTCCAGGACAGTTGAGGTTGCAGGGAGAACCTATCTTAGAAAAGGGGGGGAGGGGCTCTGATTCTCAGTCTGTCCTCTGTACTGTTTGGAATGTGACAGCAGAGTCTGAGGTTTAAGCTATCCCAGTGTATATGTCTGTCAGCAATGCAAGAGAAGCATTGCTCTGACCTTTAAAACTCATTTACATGAAAAAAAATCATTTGTTGACAATACAGTCAGAATCATTACAATTTGAATCATTTTTACTGGAAGTCAAAAGTGTTCCTGAACTTAAAATTTTTGTGTATCCCTTTGATAACTATTTTAAATTGTTTGTTGCACAAAATGTACAACTAGAAAGCCTTATTTTATCATCAATTTCTTGAGATTCTATGTATAAGGAATAATCTTTTTTTAAAGAAAAATAGTTATCTTAATCAAAAAACTCTTGCATCCTCTTTTGCTTCATTTAATTTCCTTTCTAAATCTATTGTTCTTTATTTTTGGCTGATAGCACTTTCTAAGTACTTAATTACACACTGTTGCTCAAGCATGAAAATTTTCATGTTATTTTATGTCAGGGTATTTTGTTAGCGATAATAATTCACCAAAATATCTTAAATGTAGAGGGTTTAATATAGATTATTCTAGCGCTATTAAAATGCAGGTACAGGCACAGCAGATATAGCAAGGGCTGCATAAAATACATTCTGGGCTGGAGAGATGGATAGAAAGTGTTTGCCTTGCAAGCATGAGGACTTGGTTCCCATACCCAAAATCTGTTTTTAAAATGTCTATGATGGCTTATATGAACATTTATTATCAGCAATGCCAGCACTGGGGAGGTGAAGACAGGTGGATGCCAGGGGCTTCCTTGCTGGCCAGCCTGGCCTACTTGATGGCCATTGAGAGACCCTGTCTCATGAAAAGGGGAATGATTCCTGAAGAAGGACACTTGAGGTTGTTCTCTAGCCTCCATACATATACATCCATGCACACACATGTGCCTATATACACAAATACACCGACATGCATGTACATACACATGCATACTTGTACACACACATTCTACTAGTTTACATTGTATTTTCAGTCTCTTTGACTGAGGGCAGTTTACATGTTCGATAGTTCCCAATAATCTGTAAACTACAAAACTTAATAATTCAGTCAGTGAATATCACAGGAAGAAAACTGCAGGAGAATTCTAATGAGCTGAACTCAATTTTCAGATTTGGTAATACAAAGATAAAAATACTCTCTCTTCTGTGAAAAGCTTAAACTGAATCATTCAGGTTGACAGGTGCTTTGGGTCTTACTGCCCCTTCATCTCAAAGATTAAGACATCTCAAGAAATTAGGAAGTGAATTCATCACCAAATCACAGTGGTCTTTGCAGTTACATTATCCCTAGGGGATTAGACATGTTAGCTCTCCCACAGATACAAGCCCTTCATCTTTCTCTCAGATAAACCTGGGAGCCATAAATCCTTAACAGAAGAAGAAAGTTGATGACTGTAGCAAACTCTGAGAATTGATTCTAAAATAAGCACAATTACATCTCCTGGTGCTGCCTACCTTGTTCACTCTGCCCTGGGTCCGTGGAACAGAGCAGTGGCCGGGCGGTGACTGCTGGCCTTTCTCCTGTTGCCCTTGTTCTTGTCATGTGTCTTATTTCCTTTGTGTCTGTTCTGCTCTTCGACGTCCTGTCTTGCCTGATTTCAGGATTGGAATTTTCACTATAAGATGTGAGGTATGAATTTTCAAAACAGCTGAAACAACTCCATTGCTTTGTGGTCATGGGAAATGAAAGGGGCCCTTTTGTGATATCTGCAAATCAGAGAGCAAAATATTCCTTAACTCACTTGAAAGGAAAGAGAGGTTTGTTTCTTATGCGTATTCCCACCCATGAACTACTGTGAAATGTGTTTGCTTTTAGTTTTTTTTTTTCTCCTCATAATAGAAAATGACCTGCATTAATAAAATCCAGATTCTTTATATAAGCCTTTAAGATATGCAGTTAGAACAGGATTCTCTCCAAGTTCCATTGTTATCAATTACTCTCATAGTTTTTAAATTATGTTTACTTTTTTAGGTGTATGAGTGTATTGCCTGCATGTGTATAAGTGCACTCGTGTCATACAACGTATGCCCACAGAGGTCAGAAAAGGGCTTTAGATCTCCTAGAACTGGAGTTAGGAAGGTTGTTAGCTGTCATGTGGGTGCTAGCAATCAAACCTGGGTCCTCTACAAGAGCAACCAGTGCTCTTAAATGCTGAACCATCTTTCCAGCCCCCTCCTCTCATATTTTAAAAAATATTTTATCTATTATTATTTTTCTTTTGTGCGTATGGATGCATTGCCTACATATATGTAACTGCAATTGTGCCGTGCAATGCCCACAGAGGCCAGAAAAAGGTGTCAGATCCCCTGGAACTGGAGTTAGGATGATTGTTAATCACCATGTGAGTGCTGGGAACTGAACTAGTGTTCTACAAGAGCAGCCAGTGCTCTTAACTGCTGGACCATCTGTCTAGTCCTTCCTTTTGTATTTTTAAAGATGTTAATTTGATAACTAAACTGGAAAAGATGCCACCACACTCAAATGAGAAATCATTTTATTAACTGCCTTTTAAATACTAAACATTGCTATTGGAGATACAAAGTTTAAAATTGTACGGACCCTTCTCTCTCATAATTACTTTCATCATATTGATGATACAGTATACACTAAAGATTCATACAGTTTATAACCTATCATAAGATCTTGTGTCTGAATAGCACTTTAACATTCTTAAGGAACAGAAAAAAATAGTCTCTGAGCATGAGCACTGCTCAACGTTTTGGAAAAGGCATTTACTCCCTTTGCCTTACAAAGGATTCATCTCATTGGCATCTACGCTCTGTGAACTGCTTTCATTCCTCGGTTGTCAAATGCAGGTGCTTTTGTAGTGACAGGAGGTGACTACAGCTGCACATCCTGACACAACTGAAGATATAAAGACAATTCATCATCACATACAAGTGCCTTCCTAGAAACTGAGGAAAAAACCAAAAGCATGAGACAGCAGAACAGTTTCCCTGACTTGACTGATCTGAACTCTTGCCTTTGGAGCCACAACTTAAATACGTGGTGGAAATTCCACATGCAGGAGGCTGATCTAGAAAGCCAGTACTGTACTGTGAAGTAGAACAATTTCCTTAATGTTATTAGCATGGATGTCTGTTTGTTCAGAGACGTAAGAAGTATCCTCTTCAACAGATGGAATTTTAGAAAAGGGATTATATCACTTTTCTTCTTTAATAACATTAATGATTGTTATCCTTATATGAATTTTCATATGCACTCTGTAATTAGTAAGAGTGAAAGATGACATCCACCAAAGCTGCACCTTCAGAAACTCCTAAAATGGTTACTGTGTGATTGACTTCACTTTACCCTTTAGCACCACCTGGTGGACAAAATGCTATTTATT